GGCTAGTGTTCTACCACCTGAGCCACAGTGCTACTTCCAGCTTTTTGGTGCTTAATTGGAGATAAGTGTCTCATGGACTTTCTTGTCTGGGCTGGCTTTGAACCACGATCCTCAGATCTCAGCCTCCTGAATATCTGGGATGACAGGTGTGAGCCACCAGTGCCTGGCTACTGTGGACGTTGTCAAAGAACCGGCACCACTGTGGTACAGACAGCAGCAGGCCACGGTGAGTCTCCAGGGTTTGAGCTGGGGCTGTGTCTTTTGGAGGCTGTAGCTGTGGGCAGATTGCAAGATCTCTCTGTCCCTTGCAGTCCCCTGCGAGGGCATATAGAGCTGGTTTGGCTAGACAGGCAGAAACCCTTGCAGCCTGGCAGCGCCAAAGGAGAACAAGGCTCAGGTCTCCTGTGCTCCTCCATGTGGGGTGTCATCTGGGTCACCCTGGTAGGGAGCCCCAGAAAGCCTAGGGGAGTTGGGCAGGAGGAGACTCCCGGGGGAGGTGTACAGGGGAGACAAGACAGGCGGCTTCTATGCCAGGCCAGGCCGGGGCCCTGGCTCCAGGCCTCCCAGGCTCAGTCTCGGGGCACCTGTCCCACATCCACTCATCTGCATAACCTACTTGTAGACTTGATTGACAGGGCAGCTGCGCCTGGGTGGGGCACTGGGAGCCAGGAGGCTGCAGGGGAAATCGAGTCCCAGTTTCCGTTTTCAATGCAACTTCTTCCCTCTTCAGGGCAGTGAGGGGTGGGCTGGGGGAGTCCCTGCTCTGCTCTAGTGGAGTTCGGTTGTAGAGACCCTTCCTGTCCCTTCTGCCCCTTCCTTGTCCTTTCCTGTCATGTCCTTGTCCCCTTCCTGTCCCCTGCCTGTCCACAACAGGCTTCATGTGGCTCTGCCCCTTGAAAACTGAGAATCCCTTGGAGCACATTGCTTAGCTCCTTCAAACCTCAGCTTACCTCTGAAAAATAGGTACCACAGGAACCAGCCATGGGGTGGTAAGGACCAGACGCTTGCCAAGAGGTCAGGGGCACTCATCCACAGACCACTGCCGTTCAGCCTCAGCTTTCTCTAGGAGCGCTCAGAACCCCTGAAGGGTCGGACTTAGTGGGTCATTTCCTGCCATGATGAGGAGATCACTTGGATGCCTATGGAAGTGGGGGCTGGACCCCTCTGGGGGTTCAAACTGCTCCTGGATGGGGTTCAGCTGGGTGGGCAAATCACAGCCTATGACCAACTCAGCCCCTTTGCAAGATAAGAATGCTTTCTACATTATGGCCCCCACCATCATCCAGCCACTTAGAAGGCTGATCTGGAGAACTAAAGTTCAAAGGCAACCCAGAGAGGAAAGTCTATGAGACTCTTACCTCCAACTAGCCAGCAAAAAGACAGAAATAGAGCTGTGACTCAAGTGGTACAGCACCAGCCTTGGGGCAAACACCAGAGTGTGAGGCTATCAGTTCAAGGCTCAGCACTGACCCACAAATATAAAGGTATATAAAGATATAGAGAGAGACATACACATAGATAGATATAGATAGATACAGATATAGACATACCTCTGCGCATGCATGCGCGCACGTGCACACACACACACTCACCCATACACACAAGACATCAACTGCTGATTGTCTTTGTTGCCTCAGGAAGGAGGCTGTGCCAAAGGCAGTTGCCGGCAGGACCAGTGTCACTTGGCACTGTCAGCAAAGTCTGGCACGAGGTCCTGGTTCAAGGGTCCCTATGTTGCTCTGATGTTGACAGAGTTCCTAAGTGTCAGCCCAGGGAACCACACACCTGAGGGAACTCCACAATGATGGTTGGCAATTCATTTTAAGTTAAATGCACTTGGTCCAAATTGTGTAATAAATTGTGTAATAAATCTACTTGCTGTGTACACAAGGGGAAACCTAGAGGAAGAGCTACAATAAGTGATGTGGCAGATAGCTGCTTCTTTCTGCTACATTTTTTCAGCATATTAATGGTATATTTTTATAGTTATTAACAATATATTTATAACTTGCTCAATTAGAAAAAAAATTGTGTGTATTCCTGTACTGGGGCTTCAACTCAGCACCTCGGTGCTGTCCCAGAGCTTTTTTTGCTCAAGGCTGGTACTCTACTCCTTGAACCATAGCTCCATTTCTGGCTTTTTGCTAGTTCATTGGAAATAAGTCTCATGGACTTTCCTGCCTGGGCTGGCCTTGAACTGTGATCCTCAGATCTCAGCCTCCTGAGTAGCTAGGATTGCAGGCATGAGCCACTGGCACCTAACAGAGAAGATTTTTCCCCTGGGGGGAGAAATGTATAAGAGGAAAAGAGAGGCTGGGATATTCTCATAGTAGAGCATGTGCCTCAGATTGTAGGGTCAATCTCCCTGCACCAAACCCAGAAAGCAAACCAACAAATACAAATGGCAAACAGTTATTTTCTGAATCCATAGGATCTCAGCTCATAAGCCATTAATATGTTTGTCCTTCAGAGGCAAATGGTCTAATTCCAAAGTTCACTTTACATAAAGATGAAAGTAACAATAACAACAATAGTAATCATGATAATGAAAACACCCACAGGCAGATGGACAGAGGGCCTTCCTGTCATTCTACGGAAACCTGAAGGATTTTGAGCTGCCTGTAATGGCAGAGCTTTGAGGGAGAAGTTAAGCAAGAGCACAGAGACGGAGACAGACAGACAGACAGAGATATTAAGAGATTGATATCAAGATACTAAGATATTAAGAGTGAGATGTTAAGAGATGTTAAGAGATATTAAGATATTAAGACTATTAAGTGGTATTAAGAATCACAGACTCAAACTTTAAAGTTTGAGAATCACAGAGGCAACATAGTCAAGTTTGGATTGCTTAACCCTCACATCCTGTCTGGACAGATGGGCAGCGTCCTGGCTTCCCCTCTCAGAACCACTGCAGCAGCTCCTGCGGGGCTCCCGCAAGGACATCCTAGTTTTCTGATTTCTACAGACATCATGACACAATAGACGTCAGACCTGCCTCGGGCTAATGTCCCCAATCTTGTGTCTACAATCACAGAAGGACAAACAGAATTCCAGAAGGTCCAGCTATGATGTCTTTTGTAAGCATTGCTCATGCACAGCAAAAGTCCAGAAATCAGAGCTATCCAGGTTCTTTTTGTTGTTGGATTGTGTGTGTGTGTGTGTGTGCGCGTGTGCGTGCGCGCGTGTTGGCACTGGAGTTTGAACTCAGGGCTTCACACTCTCTTAACTTTTTTGCTCAAGGTTGGTGCTCTACCACTTGAGCCACACCTCTACTTTCTGGCTTTTGGGAAGTCAACTGAATACAAGATTCTTAAGAGATTTTCCTGCCCAGGCAGACTTTGAAATACAATTCTCAGATCTTGGCCTCTTGACTAGCTGGAATTACGAGGCCTGTGCCACTAGTGCTTAGCTAGTGATTCATAAACTTTAGACAGTTTGTTAAAAATGCACACAGCCAGATCCATGCCAGGAAGGTGTTCATGATCAGTCACCTTTGAATCTCCATATTGTGTGTGTGCGCCAGTCCTACGATTTTGAACTCAGGGCCTGTATGCTGTCTTTGAGCTTTTTTGGGGGGGGGGGGTCCGGTTGTGGGGCCTGAACTCTGGGCCTGGGCGCTGTCCCTCATCTCTTCAGCTCAAGGCAAGTGCTCTACCACTTGATCCATAGCGCCACTTCCAGCTTTTTTCTTTTTTTGCTTATGTGGTGCTGAGGAATCGAACCCAGGGCCTCATGCATGCAAGGCAAGCACTCTACCACTGAGCCACCTTCCCAGCCCCTCCTTGAGCTTTTTTTGCTCAAGGCTAGCACTACCACTTGAATCACAGTTCCACTTCTGGCTTTCTGGTGGTTAACAGGAGATAGGAGTCTTATATAGCTGGATGCTGGTGGCTCACATCTGTCATCTTAGCTACTCAAGAAGCTGAGATTTAAGGATTGCAGGAAAGTCCATGAGACTCTTATCTCCAATAACCACCAGAAACCTGGAAGTGGAGCTGTGGCTCAAGTGGTAGAGTGCTAGCCTTGAGTGGAAGAACTCAGGGGCAGTGGCCAGGTCTTGAGTTCAAGCCCTACCATGCACCCAGGCCGGCTTCGAACTGCGATTCACAGATCTCAGCCTTCTGAGTAGCTAGGACTATAGATGTGAGCCATCACACCCATTTGCTTGCTTCCATTTATTTTCTTTCTCTCTTGTTCTTTTCTTTCTGCCTTCCTTCCTTCCTGCTTTCCTTCCTTCCTTTTTTCCCTCTCTTTTTCTTTCTTCTTTCATTTTCTTTTCCTTTCCCTGAAATTCTTTTTTTTTGGGGGGGGGTCTGGTTGTGGGGCCTGAACTCTGGGCCTGGGCGCTGTCCCTCAGCTCTTCAGCTCAAGGCTAGCGCTCTACCACTTGAGCCACAGCGCCACTTCCGGCTTTTTTCTTTTTGCTTATGTGGTGCTGAGGAATCGAACCCAGGGTCTCGAGCATGCAAGGCAAGTGCTCTACCACTGAGCCACCTTCCCAGCCCCCCTGAAATTCTTTTCTAATATTATTTATAAGTAGTTGTACCAAGGGGTTTCAATTCAACACACCAGATGAGATTAACACATTTTGATCGGCATTACCCCTTCAGTCCTCCTCCTCCATCTCTTCCAACTTACCCTGCCCTCAAGTTACTTGGCTCTATGTTCATATATGCACATTCAATGTTAGGACTGTTTTTGCTCACCTTGTCTCTATTCATCTGTCCCAAAACTAAACACAGAGCTAACCTATGATCCAGTGACACTACTCTTGGACATTTATCCAGAGTATTCAGTCAGAACATGGTAAAGACACTTGTATTTCCATGTACATTGTTGCACTATTCACCATAGCTAGATGCCTTTCACATACATAAGTACAAATATATATATATATGTATATAAAACCACAAGACATATATACAAATGCATATATATGTAAAACCACACATATCATATTATATACACATAGATACACATAATGAAATTTCACTCACCTGTCAGGAAGAATAATTCTATGTCATTTGCAGAGAAATGGATGGACCTGGAAAACAATATGTGAAGTGAAGTAAGTTGAGCTTAGAGAGACCAGGGACACATTTCCTCCTGTAGGTGGAAGTTAGATCTAAGTTATAAACAGATGGGAAAACATGCCCAGGGTTGTGTAAAAATACACAGCTAGCCGATGGACTGGGGCATGGCAAATGCAGGGTGGATTCCAACTGTATAACTCGTGTGCACCAACAACTTACAGCTTAACCAAAGGAAATCTGTCATCTTCCTAAGAGGTGAAATCAGAGAGATCATCGAACGAGTAGATCAGGAGCTACCCGGAGGCTGAGCTCTGGGCATCATAATTTGAAGGCAGCTTAGGATGGAAAGTCCATTTGATTCTTGTCTCCACTGAACCCACAAAAATTCAGAGTGGAGTTGTGACTCACATAGAGAGGACCAAGACAGCACCCCAGCCCTGAGTTCAAGCCCCACATGAGCGCACACAGAAAAGTAATTTAGGCACATAGACCTCACGAAGCATGATGTATGAACTCCCAGCAATGTTCTTATTTTGCACCACAGTTGTTAAAGATGGCCATGTTCCTCATCCTGACAATCTCAGAATGAAGTTAATAATATAGTTACTGGGACCTGGAGATCCCTGCTTGGCTTGAGGGCCTGGACTCAGGTTGGCTTCATTATAGCAACTTTTATAGACACCCCAGCTCAGGGAGAGGGTAGGGTAGAACAACACTCAATTTTCCCCTCTATTGGAGTGACCACATATCCATTTCACATTACAATTGATTAGCAATGTCTGCTCTGGGCAGGTGAAGCCAGAGTGGCAAATGCATGCCATCCATTTAGAGTGTTCTAGATTCAAGGAAATTCTGTTTGAGCCAATAAGTCTATAGAACCAAAGAGAGCTGAGTACAATGATTAAGGTCTTATAGTATCCAGCCAGTTGTGGACTATCAACCTGTGGATGACAAACAGGTGTCAGCGTGCTGGCCACCTCTTTGAACTCATCACAGTCACCTGAGCATGAAAATTACTTTTCCATCTCTCATATCCAGCACAGCCTGGACTGCAAGGGGTGGCAATGCAATCCCCGTGTTTTCTGGCCCTGCTCCCATCTCCTGGATGAATAAAGGTCCTTTCCTCCTCACCATCCCCAGGAGAGGAGGGCAACATTATTTCTGAGTGCTTGGAATTCTAATGGGCTTCGTGTACAAGGTACTGGACCTTTCAGAGAGGACACAATACTCTCCTCAGGGCAGGGTGAAATACACAGAAAGCAAACAGTGCATCTTAAGGCCATTTCCCAGGGTCCCGGGGTCTATACAGGTAAGTTTGTGAGACTCTAGACTAAGTGAGAAAATGCCTTTTCTTTTTATTCCTCTGTCTGGGGCTTGTCTTTGCCAGGTGAGCAGTTAAAAACTTCGTTTTTTCCATAAATCTATATAATTTATTATAGCTCAAGAATAAAAGAGAAGACATTTGGAAACTACTAGGCAGGTACCTGTTATTCACACCTATAATCCTTGCTATCCTTGCTGAGATCTAAGGATCCTGGTTGGACACTAACCTAGGCAGGAGTGTCCGTGAGACTCTTTCCTCCAATTAATCAACGAAAAGATGGAAGTTGAGATGTGGCTCAAATGGTAAGACATCCATCTTGGGTGAAAAAGCAGAGATAGCATGCTAAGCCCCAAGTTCAAGCCCCAGGACGAGCACACATACACATGCATGCACGCACGTGCACATGCACACACGCACGTGCGCGCGTGCACACACACACACACACACACACACACACACACACACACACACACACACATCTTGACAGCTAGGTGTAAGAGGGCCAGAAAGATGCATGAACCAAAAGAGACTCGGGTCAGCAACTGAGCAGTCCCCCAAGGAAGGGGTCTGAGACTAACCCCTAATAACACTGGCTGGGTGTGGGGGGCGGGGTGGAGAACATCTGTGTAGCACCTGCCACAACCTTTCAGCAGCTCTGAATTGAAAAGGGAGGCTGGGAATTTGAGGGGGGTAGGAATTCCACCGGAAGTGCTCCCCCCCTTTGGTGACATTGTTCCCTTGGAATAAGTCCCTAGGGGGCTTAAAGTGTCTTAGCTGGGGGGCGTTGTGGGGGGTGGGGTGGGCCCTGGAAGGGAACCTTGGAGTGTCCAGCCATATACCTGTGTTGAGGAACACAGAGGAACTTTTCTAAGGTAGAGTGAGGTAGCTGAGTAGCCTGTAGGAGGGACTTGACTGTAAAGACAGGTGTGTGAAACACTATTGTGTGCTGGGTTCTTTTACAGGCTTTGCTTGGATTTCCCGTCCTTAAGGAAGGTCACAGTTTCCTAGTCTATAAATGTGGAAACTGAGTCTCAGGGACAGAGAACTTCCAGGAACTCACAGATGCAATTGTGACCATATAGACAGAGAGGCCTCTCCTTGGGTCCCCAGTGTGGATTCTCTCATTTAATTCAAGCTCTGCAAAGCAGAAATGGTCATGACAGTTAAAAGAAAATGCTTTTTAGTTTGTACTAGTCCTGAAACTCGAACTCAGGGCTTCATGCTCTTACTTGACTTGTTTTGCTCAAGGCTTGTGTCCTACTGCTTGAGCAATGCCTCCACTCTTAGCTTTTTGCTGGTTAATTGGAGATAAGAGTTCACAGACTTTGCTGACTGAGCTGGCTTCAGATCTTAATCCTCAGATCTTAGCCTCCTGAGTAGCTAGGATTACAGAACTAGGATTACATTGTTGCCTAACACTGACTTAAAAAATTGAATATTGATTATCAAAGGTTTTCACCTTTGAGTTATCACACACAATAGCTATAACCTCTTCTCTTCAATATAGTTCTGGAATTCTTAGCCAGAACAATAAGGCAAGAAAAGGACATAAAGGAGATTCACATAGGGAAAGAAGAAATTAAACTTGCAGATGTCATGATCTTATATAAGGACCCAAAAAAATTGTACTCCCAAACTCCTAGAACTAATAAACCACTTCAGCAAAGAAGTGGAATACAAAATTAATCCACAGAAACCAGTAGCCTTTCTGTAGGCCAACAATGAACAAGCAGAAAGGGAAATCATAAAAACAACCCCATTTGCAACAGCCTCAAAAAAATCCCCCAAACCCAACAACCTAGGAATTATCCTAACCAAAGATCTAAAAGATCTCTATAGCGAAACCTATAAAAATCTAAAGAAATCAAAGAGAACATCAGGAAATGTTAATACTTTCCATGTTCATGGATAGATGGAATGTTTATTGAGAAAATGGCCATACTGCCAAAAATGATATACAAATTCAATGCAATCCCAAAATAGAAAAAACAATCTAGTCAGGCGCCAGTGTCTCATGCCTGTAATCCTAGCAACTCAGGGGGCTGAGATTTGATGAACATGGTTAAAAGCCAGCCCAGGTAGCAAAGTCCATGAGACTCTCATCTCCAATAAACCACCAGAAAAACCGAAGTGGTGCTGTGGCTCAAGTGGTAGAGCAGTAGCCTTGAGCTGAAGTGCTGAGAGACAGTGCCCAGGCTCAGAGTTCAAGGCCCACGACCAACAACAAAAAAAAAACAAAACCCAAAAATTCACATGGAACAACAAAAGACCTAGAATAGCCAAAACAATTCTAGGCAATAAAAAGCAATGTGGGTGGTATCACAATGCTAGATTTCAAGCTCTACTACAGAGCCATAATAACAAAAACAGCTTGGTATTGGCACAAAAATAGACCACAAAGCTAATGTAATAGATTAGAAGACACAGAAATAAAATACAGTCATCTGATATTCAACAAAGGAGCCAAAGACATACAGTGGAAAAAAACATAGCCTCTTCAACAACTGGTGTTGGGAAAACTGGGCAGCCATATGAAGAAAACTAAAAGTGGATCCCTGTCTGTCACCATGCACCAACATCAATTCAAAGTGGATCAAAGATCTCACAGTCAGACCTGAAACTCTGAAACTACTTCAAGAGTGAGTAGGAGAGTCATTAGAACTTCCTGAACAGCGTCCCAGGGGCACAACAGATAGGAGAGAAACTCAACAAGTAGGACATTAAAATAAAAAGTTTCTGCTAAGGACATAGTTACTTAACTAGAAAGACAACCAACCAATTGGGAAAAGATTTTACCAGCAATATATAAGGCACAGGCTTAATATCCAATATAGACAAGAAGTTCAAGAAACTAACTCCTCCCAAACTTAATATACAAATTACTAAATGGTCAAGGTAGCTAAGAAGAAAGTTCTCAGAAGAAGAGGTAAGAATGTCAAAGAAACACATGAGGAAATGCTCATCATCCCTGGCCATAAAGGAAATGCAAACCAAAGTAACTCTGAGATATCACATCCCAGTTAGATTGGTTAACATTTTGAATTTTAACAAGTGCTGGCCAGGATGTGGGCAAAAGGAGCCCCACACGGCTCGTGGGAATGTAAACTCTAGAAAGCAGTCTGGAGGTTCCTCAAAAAACTAAACATAGACCTTCCCCACGACCCAGCCATACCACTCCTAGGCATCTACCTGAGCATCATGAGCCAGGATATGATAAGGATGCCTGCACATTAATGTTCCTTGCTGTACTATTCACACTAGCTAAGATATGGAAATAGCCCAGATGCCCCACAATAGAGGAGTGGATCCAAAAAATGTGATACCTACACCCAATGGAATTTTACATAACCATTAGAAAGAATAAAATAATGTCATTGCAAGGAAACGGATGGAACGAGAACAAATCATGTTAAGTGAGGTAAGCCAAGATCAGAGAGACAGACGGCGCAATGCTCTCCCTGATATGCGGAAGTTAGATCTAAAGCGCACTGGGATAGGACAAATTACACAGGATTCTAGATACTCACACACAGGGAGACAAAAAGAGGATAGTCTTAGGAGAGAATCACAAAGGTGCAAAGCCCAAGTGCTCCTTCATGTGTAGATAAAATAATATACACACTGAAACAAACTCCAAAGATACAGAAATAAAGGTCTTTTTTCTTAATTTGTTTTTTATTTTTCTGATGACTCTGTATTCTTTACCTTATATAGGGTGTATGCACATCCATATCTGTAAGGGGGGGGCACAGAGTCCAAGGAAAAGGGGTTAAAAATGCAGCAGTGGAATGCACTGGACTGATGAAAGCGAGGTATGCAGCTCATTGGTGGAGATGGGAGAAAATGAGGGAACGGATGACATTGTGCGAAAGGAAATGTACTTACTACCTGATATATGTAGAAGTAACCCCACTGTTTATCACCTCTAAAATAACAATAAACTAAAAAACCCAGCAAACAGTAGGTACAACCTAGGACTGAAGAATGTAAACTCTAAAATAGATATCCTCAATTAACTCTGAGTAAGTCAAGTCACTTTTGTGGTCATTCTTTTTTATTTTGTTTTTGGTTGGTCATGGGGCTTGAACTCAGGGCCTGGGCTGTCCTGAGTTGTCCCTGAGCTCTTTTGTGCAAGGCTAGCACTCTACCACCTAGAGCCACAGTTCTACTTCTAGTCTTCTGCTGGTTCATTTGAGGTAAGAGTCTCACAGACTTTCCTGCCTGGGCTGGCTTTGAACTGAGACCTTCACATCTCAGCCTTCTGAGTAGCTAGGATTAGAGGTCTGAGCCACTGGCACCCAGCTAATTTTTTTTTTAATCAGGAAAACAGGGATAAAAAATATTCTCAGAGAATTAAATCACATACATACATACACACACACCTACATAAAAAAATGTTGTCTGGGTTCCTCATGAATGAAACAGACATTATTGATTATCCAGGGGCTTTACAACCAACTCAACCAGAATGGCTGGGTACGAGTGGCTCATGCCTGTCATCCTAGCCACTCAGGAGGCTGAGATCTGAAGATCATGTTATGAAGCCAGTCTGGGCAAGAAAGTGTGTGAGACTCTTATCGCCTATTAACCACCAAAAATTCAGAAGTAGAGGTGTGGCTCAAATAGTAGAGCACCAGCTAAGGGATAATGCCCAGGCCCTGAGTTCAAGTACCAGTACTTGGCGTGCACACACACACACAGGTATGCATGCACACATATGCGAAGCAGAAAAACAAACAACAATAACAGCAACAAAATTTTAAAAAGGAAAAACAAGTAAGTGAGAAAAAACCAAAGTGAGAAAAGCAGCTTACCGAAGGTCACCTGAACAGTGGCTGAGCGGGGAATGAAGATGTCCTGCAGGCCACAGGCACATCTGTGCTTTCTTTTTATGGACATCAGGTCACTAATTTTCACTGGTTTTTTTACTCTAAGTTGACAGGAAACACATACATTCACTTTGCCCAACACTCTCATGCTACAAAATACAAAAATCCAAATTATATATATATATATGCACGCCAAAATGCTGTGTGTGTGTGTGTGTGTGTGTGTGTGTGTGTTAGTCCTAGAGCTTGAACTCAGGGCCTGGGTGCTGCTGTACTTTAGCTTTTTACCACCTGAGCCACACATCTCATGGACTTTCCTGTCTAGGACAGCTTTGAACCAGGATTTTCAGATCTTAGCCTCTTGAGGAGCTAGGATTACAGGTGTAGCCACTGGCACCCAGCAATGTTGTTATGTTCAATGGCAAACACAGTTACCCAGATCATTCACAGACATGGACCAGTTCCAGAGCTTTTGATGCCAAAATTCAGAGTCATTATACTATTCCTTCACATTTGAACTTATTAAAAGCATTAACCTAGAAGGCCTGGACAGCTGACAATTTCATAAACATCATCTTTTCTCTCTGGCAACAGGACATTTTCCTTGACAGCACTTTGTTTTCCTTTTAGGTATTGGAAGTAGCACTGCACTTGGACAGTAATCCCTGCCTGGGAGACACCTTGAGGCTGCGGATTTGGGGTGAGCGCTGTGGAAATGGGCTGTGGGAGTGTAAATATTTGTACAAGACAGATGAACTAGTCAGGCAGTCTCTCCGGAATGCCTGTTTCACTGGTCCAGTGAGAAAACAAACTGGAAAGACGAATAGCTCTCTAAGTCAGGACAGAAGCCAAACATTGGTGACTCAGGACAGAAACCCCAGCCACTCAGGAGGCTGAGAGTAAAGGATCAATGCTAGAAACCACCCGAGGCAGACAAATTTGAGAGACTCATCTCCAGTTAACCAGCAGAAAGCAGAAAGTAGAGTAGTGATTCATGAGTAGAATGCCAACCTTGAATTGAAGAGCTAAGAGGGCAGAGCCCTGAATTTAAGCCCAGTACTCCTCCCCCCCCACACACATGTGCACACACACAATTTGCTATTATTTTTCCACACTGATTTGATGCCAGACATTATCCTTCTTGCATTCATCCCTTGTATTTCATTCAGAAAGAATTACTGGAAGAAAGTGATATACAAGTAGTCTCTTGGAACAAGAGTATACCAGAGCAAAGACTGTCCAAACAAATGAAACAGCCTAGTCACCATTTCTCTCTGGGATGAATGTAAACTCCTTTACCTCTGAGCTGTTTCACTAAAGAGCTGAGTTTTAGGTTGGGCTTGCTGCCCCACCCCTACCCCCTCCATCCTGCAAGATGATGCCTAATAGCTTGCATTGCACCATTCCTGAACATGCCAAAACCCAGACTACAAATCACACATCAGAAGCCTGGGAGGGCTCTGCCATATTCTAAATTCACATGGCAGGTTTCCGGAGATTGCTAGTCAGGCCATTCTCATTCAGCTCAAAGCAGTGGCTTGCTAGTGTGTGTGTGTGTGTGTGTGTGTGTGTGTGTGTGTGTGTGTGTGTGTGTGTGTGTGTGTGTGTGTGTGTGTGTGTGTGTGTGTGTGTGTGTGTGTGTGTGTGTGTGTGTGTGTGTGTTGGGGGAGAGGGGAGGGAGGATTCAACATGTAAGTCCTAGAGCCTCTAACTCCAGACCCACCAATCCAGGGGACAACATGGCATCATAATGTCCAAACAGAAACTTCCTTCCTCTGGCTGGAATCTGGGAAGCTCAAGTATAACCAAAACAAGCATGTGGATGTGAATGCGGAGGGGGCTCTGAAGGAACTTCTCCAAGGGAGGGCAGTACCAAGACCAAGACCACAATCACCATCACCACCACCACCACTACCATGGCCACTACTACTGCTATTATTGTCTTAATTGCTAGTAGTGGAGCTTGAACTCATGCCAGAGGCCCTTCCCTTAGCTTTGGCTAGCACTCTACCACTTGAGCTACACCACCTTTACTTTCTGGTGGTCCATTAGGGAAAGAGTCTCAGAGACTTTCCTGCCTGGGCTGGCCTTGAAGGGTGATCCTCAGTTATCAGCCTCCTGAGTAGCTAGGATTAGAGACTCAAACCACCATTGCCCCGCAGGAGTTAATATTATTATTGTTATTAATGTGTTCTCAGCCACATCTTGACAGGCTGATGTGACACTGGTGCTTCCAGGGACGATGGGCTGTCACCTTGGATTTTCTGATTATTCCATTTCTAGAACTTTCCCTGTGAGCAGTAGCAGAGTCTGTTATCCAAGCTCCATAAAACATCGCCAGAACCATCACAGTCTGCCCGTACAGAAACATCTGTCAATAAACCCATCATCGATCTAAACATTTGAATTAGGCTTTTCCTAGTAGCTCAGGACAAAAACGTAGCCAAGATTTGACGTTTCTTTAGTAAAACTGCCATCGACAGAACTTTTCCCAGAAGTTATATCAAGGTATGACCTTCATTAACGAGAGGTGGGGGGAGAGGGAGAGAGAGAGGAAGAGAGGGAGGGAGGGAGAGAGAGAGGGAGGGAGGGAGGGAGAGAGGGAGGGAGGGAGGGAGGGAGGGAGAGGATTCCTTAGTATTTAACTGTCCACCACAGAAGGACAATTTCTAACTTCGATCTCTTTCCACTCTCCATCCCCTTCCTCCCCGCCAATCCCCCCACCGAAGACCCGCGGCCGGGCCCGGGGCGGCGCGGGGCGCTGGAGCGCGTGCGGCTCCCGCTCCGCACCGCGGGCCCCTCGGACCCGAGCCCCCGGCGGTCCGAGCCGCCGCAGCGCGGGGCCGGTGCGGTGTCCGGGCCGGACCGCTGCCCGACCCCGCTCCCCGCTCCGCTCGGAGCCCCAGACGGCCCGCTGGCCGCGGGAGCAGCCCGGCCGCCCGGAGCCCCGCGCGAGGCCGCCCCGCACGGCGCCCGCCGCCCGCCCGCTCCCGGCCCCGCTCGCCGCCCGCCGCCCGCCCGATCTCCTCGGCGCCTACCTCGGCCCGGCCGGTTCCGGGCGCTCGGGGTCCCGAGTCCCGCGTGCTCCGCGCCGGGGACGCGGGTCCGGGCGCCCGCGGCGAGGCTGCGGGGCGCGGGGCGCGCGCTCGGCCCAGGCCCGGGCGGCGGGCGGCGGCCCCGCTGCGGCTGAGTCAGCGCCCCGGAGGCGCGGGGAGCCCGGCCGCCGCCGCCCAGCGCCGGCTCTGAGCCCGGCCCGGCCCCCGGGCATTTTAAAGGCCAGGAAGCTGGACGCCATTCAAGTGGAGACGCCTGGAGAACACTCAACCCTCGGCCCGGGCGGGAGCGCCCCATCTTCCGGGGGCACCCCACCCTCCCCAGGAGAGCACCCCACCTTTCCAGGGGACACTCCGCCCTCCGCCGGGGCACCCCACCTTCCCCACACAGCCTGGACTATGCTGACATGAGGACAGAGTCTCCCCCCCCACCCCCCCGCCAAAAAAAACCATCAGTGACTCCTTTTACCAGCGTTTGGGACCCCATATAAACCCAAACCTTAAAAAAAAAACAAACCCAAATCACCCTCCTCCCATAAAACCTCTGTAAAAGAATCCACCTGCATTATGCTTAAAAGCAAGAGAGGGCTGGGAAGGTGGCTCAGTGGTAGAGCACTTGCCTTGCATGCATGAGGCCCTGGGTTCGATTCCTCAGCACCACATAAGCAGAAAAAGCCAGAAGTGGTGCTTGTGGCTCAAGTGATAAAGTGCTCAAAGAGCTCAGAGAGTGCCCAGACCCAGAGTTCATGCCCTTCAAGCCTCACAACTGCCCCGCCCCCCAAGTTAGGGTCTAGGCTTTGAAGGTGTTTGAAAAAAATGTGTTAAATGCAATTGAACCAGAGAAAGAAATAAGGTAAAAACACTGAAGTTGTGCCTTTGTGCATGGAGTTTTGTTGTTTATAATTAAAGTATCTTCTGTTTATTGATGTTCCTTTAAATAATTGTACAAGAGGTTTCAGTTCATCTGAGTACAGTGCATCTTGATCAATGTCACGCCAGTCTCTGCAGACTCAGACCAGCCCACCCAACCTCTGTGCTTGTATGTTTGTGTGTGTGCACGCATGTGCACGTGCCTGGTCTCTGAGCTTGAATCAGGGCCTGTGTAAGGAATCCTTCCCATCCATCCCAGGGGACCATGCAGAGGCAGGCAGGCACAGGAGAAAGATTATTATAAGGCTTATTAGAGGAGTCATATTTCCCCCAATGGGGAGCACATGGCATCCTACACTATCCAGGTAGCAGGAGGGTGTCAGGGAAGGAAGTTCGGTAGGCTGGTGCTCAGGTAGGTCTGGGCGGAGAGAGGGAGTGGCCAGCTGTAGGGCAGGAACTCCAGGGCTGGCAGGAGCTCAGGTTTGGGTGGAGCTGAGGACCAAAAGTGGGTATAATGCTTACAACCAGGCCAGGGGGCATGGGTGGGGTCGTTTCTCCTGGAGCTATTGCCTGCTGTAAAGGGGTCCCTGCTTCATTGCTTGGCCAGGTACAGCACAAGAAGCATTTGCTTGACATTGGTTGGTAAAGGTCTTCCTTTTTCCAAGACAATAGTTATCTAAAACGCAAGCCATAATTAATAAAAGGCAAAATTGCTGTTAGGGCAAAAATTGCTGTTAGCAGCCCCAAGAGAAGAATAAGACAGGGAGGGAATGATTCCCAGAAGGAGCTTTTCTGCCTTTTCTGTCTCAGATTGGAGACATAGCGTAGTACCTGACTCCCAGCATCCCGGAAGGGGGAGTGAGACTTTTCCCATTTTTAGGATCACAGTAACCTGAGGAGGAAGTAGCAGAGATATTTAAAGGTATCACAGTCAATGGGTGTCACGGGCAATTTTGGCTACTTCCTGCTGGCCTGGGGGCATCAGGGAATCCCTGAATTCCTTACCTGGATGTCTGCCTATCTCCTTGTGGTCCCTGGGATAGATGTGAAGGATTCCTTACAGCCTGTCCATGAGCTTTTGTGCTACTGATTTGCACCACTTGAACCACAGCCCTACTCCCAACTTTTTTGGTGGTTCATTGAAGATAAGCAAATCACAGACTTTTCTGCCTGGGCTGGCTTTGAATCATGACTCTCAGATCTCAGCCTCCTGAGTAGCTAGGATGACATGCATATGAGCCACCAGTGTCCTCTTTATCTACATATAGAATGTAATCCCCAAGTAATTTCAAGTAAGATTTTTTTTTTCCTTTTAAAATGAGGATTCTAAATCTGAATTTGAAAGATGAAAACAAACAAGAACAAGCTGGGTACTGGTTGGCTCACGTCTATAAGATCTCAGCATCTCAGTTTAAAGCCAGACCTGGCAAAGAAAAAAGTCCACGAAACTATGATCTCTCTTTAACCATCAAAAAGCCAGAAGTGGAGGTATGGCTCAAGTGGTAGAGAGCCAATCTTAAGCAAAAAAGCCAAATGAGACTGTGAGGCCTTGGATCCAAGCCTAGCCCACACGTGTGTGTGTGTGTGTGTGTGTGTGTACGCGCTTGTGTGCGCACACACAAGCACACACAATGCAGAGGACACAGGAGAAAGACCCTTGCAGGCTCTCAGACTGATCCAGCTGGAAGAAGGAAGCAATCATCTCCCGCCTTGAGTGTCTTCCATTTCAGACCAGCTCATCCATCAGCCCTCTCAAAACACAAAGCAGAGGGACAGCTGTCACCAATATCTGCTGCCTGTCTTCTCAGGTCCTGAGGGCATGGATCAGCCAGGAGGCTGGGGGGGGGGGGAGCTCAGGCCTTGCCATGGAGTGGGCAGGAGAGCCTGCCCCTTGTGCTGACCGCTGACCGTGCTGTGTCATCCAGCAGGGGCAGAGAGCCCAGAGCGCAGGGATAAACAGCACCTGGATGCAAACAACCACCAACAGCTGGGAATTTTCCAAAGCTTCCCCCAAAGCCCAGGATGGGACAGGAAATGTCAGCACACACAGGAAGCTAAGACTGCCTCCTGCCCTTCTCCAGAGCAGAAAAGGAGAGCAGAGACCGCAGGGGGCTTTTTTGATCCAAGTCCTGGTGGGGAGGGGGAGGGGGCGGAATTTTCCCGAGGGGGGCTGAATTTTCCTGAGGGGTGCTTTTCCCAAGCTGCCAAACAGTGTTTTTTTGTTTTGTTTTGTTTTTTTCCTGAGAGGCTTTGGCTACCCTGTTCCTGGCCCTGTGCTGAGCTGGAGCAAAGTGGACTAGGAAGAAGCCTGAAGACTGTCCGCCAGGAGAGCTAATATCCACTATGCCAAGCAGGGCCTCCTGATCTGATGATTTATTAACCACATCAAGAACCAGGACTACAGTAGGGTGATTAATGGCTCAGGCCTTCCACACCAAGTACTGTCAGGATGCTGGGACCTGCGGATTGGTTCAAAGCCAGCCCAGGCAGACAAATTGGAGAGGCTGACACCACCAGAAGTAGAGGTATTGTTCAAGGGGTAGAGCACCAGCCTTGAGTGACAGAATAAGTCAAGCAGAAGTTGCAAGACTCTTAGCTCAAACCTCGGTACCAAAAGAAAGAAAAAAAGGAAAGGAGTGAAGGAGGGAAAGAGGGAAGGAGGGAAATAAATTGGCTATTTCTTAGCCAGGGATTACACTGTGTGTGTGTGTGTGTGTGTGTGTGTGTGTGTGTGTGTGTGTGTGTGTGTGTGTGTGTGTGTGTGTGTCTGCCTGTCCTGGAGCTTGAACACAAGTCTTGGGCACTGTCCCTGAGCTTCTTGCTTGCTTGCTTACTTCCTTGCTTTTCTTTCTTTCTTTCTTTCTTTCTTTCTTTCTTTCTTTCTTTCTTTCTTTCTTTCTTTCTTTCTTTCTTTCTTTCTTTCTTTTCTTTCTTTCTTTCTTTCTTTCTTTCTTTCTTTCTTTCTTTCTTTCTGTAAGGTCCGCTCCTGGATGGCCAGCAGACTCCACCCTCCTCGCAGCAAAGTCTCCACCCAGTACCTGCGTTACCTAGGCAACTGAGACACCTGGAAGAGGTCACATCTGCATCAGCTGAGGTCACATCTGAATTTGATGTGGCCATACCTTTCTCCACCCATACCCTACATAAGGCCTAGCTCAGGCCCAGAGGCCCTCTTTCGCTGCTCTTTTCTAACTCTCTCTGCTCTCTCTGCTCTTTTCTAGCTCTTTCCTCTCTTTCTCAGCTCTCTCTCATTCCCAGGCCTTTCCCAGCCACGTGGAGTGCCAACCTTGCCTGGTCCCAGCAGGTCTACTGAATAAACCTACCCCTTACCTGAATACCACGTGCGTGCTGCAGTTCTTACTCGGCTACCGCTCTCTCTGCTCTTGTCAAGCTCTTCTCAAGCTCTTTTCTCTCTCTTTCCTCTCTCTCTTACCCAGCTCTCTCTCTTTCCTAGGCCTTTCCCAGCCGCGTGGAGTGCCAACCTTGCCTGGTCCCAGCAGGTCTACTGAATAAACCTACCCCTGACCTGAATACCACTTGTCTGCTGCTGTTCTTACTCGGGTACCTCTTTTTAAAAACCCAACACTTTCTTTCTTTCTTTCTTTCTTTCTTTCTTTCTTTTCTTTCTTTCTTTCTTTCTTTCTTTCTTTTCTTTCTTTCTTTCTTTCTTTCTTTCTTTCTTTCTTTCTTTCTGCTAAGGCTTGCACTTTACCACTTGAGCCACAACTTCACTTTGGGCTCTTCTCTTCCATCCCATCCCTCCTCCCTGACCCCGCCCCCCCCCCCCATTCATTGGAGATAAAGAATCTTGTGGACTTTCCAGCCAGGGCTGGCTTCAAACCATGGTCCTCAGATCTCAATCTCCCAAGTGGCTGAGATTATAGGCATGAGCCACTAGGGCCCGTTCTTTTATAAAGCTTAGCTACAAGGGCTGAGTCCACCCTATATTGTTCTGCTGGAGTGCTGGCACTTGATACTGCATTTGATCGCTACAGCCACGCTTCAAGACTAGTTCTCAGTACTTCATTACCGGCAAGATGGTTGAATGCCTGGCTGGCCGTGGTTATCTTATCTGTTAGGTCTGCCTGGGAAAATGGTCCCTTCTCTTGTTTTCTTTCCATGCAGAACTGAAGTCCCTAGAAGTCCCTGCCCAGCGTCTGTATCCCAGGTCTGC